GGGAGCTCGTTCCTCAACCTTGGAAACTATGGATCGATATTGTGGAGGATACTTTAAGGACTCCCATGACATATATCTATTTGTTATGGATATGTTGACAGCAAATTATGTGGCTCACTTGGAGTGGCATTCATGTGACCGTGTGTTGGCCGTGTGTTGGTGTATCCATTACTTGAGGGTTTTGCTTTTTTTGTTGTGTTTCATTTTTTGTCCTCAAATGATCGGCGATTTAGGACCTATTTTTTCGAGGGACCATTTCTGCTTTTTTTAAACAAAAATTTATTGTTATTTTTTGGTTTTCAGTGGTTTTGGGACAAAAAACGCCCATGTTTTTGTATTGCTAGTTTAGAATAACCTCCATTTTTTATTAAAATTAAAGGGTGCGGTTTTGGTGTGGGGGCGGCTTCACGATATTTATTGAATCCACGCTTCGCAAACGGGCCTGGTGGATCTTTGGTTTTGGGTCCTGGCAGCAGGTCAGTTCAAGTTCCAAGGCTAGATTGCCTCGATCTAATATGTATATGGGCAATTATGCAATTGGATCATATACAATGAAACTATTTACCTTTTAAGTGTCTCACAAAGCTCAAGCCTTTTTTTTTTTTTTTATTTTAAATTTTGTGTTTGATCAATGAAATAAATGCAAACACCCAATTTCACATTCAATGGCAAAAATCGACTGTGACCACTTTGTACCAAAGATAAATAATCTCATTATATGTTTATTTTTATATGATATATATTTAATTATAAAATTATAAAATACAAATATTTATTTTTGATACAAAGTGATCACAATTACTCTTGACATGTGAATTATATCACTGCATTTATTTTATTTATCAGGCTCAAACTTCAATAGATTGTTTTTTAAGTGGTTAGTTTCTAAATATGTTAGTGAGAATGAAGGTCAAAACTTTTTAAGTGATGTTCAGAGGTACTTCTACCACAACCCTAGCTCCATTCTTACATTAAAGAAATTAAAATATCCTAATTAATATTAAAATATATTTAGGTTATATTTCACTCATATACCGCCTAAATAAATATCTTAAAAATGCTCAGACTGCCTTTATTCAGGGTTGGGAAGTTGAAATGTTAGTTACATTTTAGTAACTTTGAAAGCATTTACTCCTTCTAGTTAGTCTCTTGTGGAGTCAAATTATCGAAATGCTATCGCTTGTTCAAGGTTTCTAACATTAAAGGGAGGTAGTGTGAATGTTTTTAAATATATTTTTTTAAAAAAAATTTGGGGTAAAATAAAAACTCACAAATAATCTTTCAATGTGAGATTTTCTAAAAGATTTTGAGCCTTCAATGATATTTTTCCTTTTATAAAAGGAAAAAAATTATATCAAGGTGAGGCCCTAAATAATTAAATTAAGGCACACTTAAAAAAAATCCACCAGCAAAGATTATTTTAATGCCCAAAAATCCTCAGATCCATCATCTCGGCCTCAAAATGTATAGACATGATATTTCAAGTCTTAAAAATAATCTATCTGGTAATGTATTTCTGATCTATTAATTTTTCAAGTATTCTTGAATATGTTCAATGTACACCAGTTTTAATATTTAAATTTTATAATTAAATATAAAAATAAAATTCGTAGCCATCACAAAAACTTTCACTGCCCAAAAAACATATTTCAATAAAGTGTGCCCACTTTGATTGTTTGGGGCGTCAGCCCTATACAATCCACAACCTCATAAAGACAAATACTTCTCTACTTGCCAAAAATATCTCGACGGCTAGGGAACAATTGTGGTACATTCGCTGTATCTCACCGTTACGAACAACGCAATAGATATTCACGAGGCAATAATAGCGAGCTCTCTCTCTCTCTCTCTCTCTCTCTCTCTCTCGCTCTCGATTTAACGACCGGTACTACGTTTTGTCGCATATTTCGTGTTGTCACGGTTTAGATTGGCCGTTCGGTTTATTAAATCGCCTAATAATAATAATAATAAATAAAAGATAAAATAAAATATTTAAAAATACTTAAAATAAAAGATGGAGTTTAGAACTTGCGGGTTTACTAATTTGATTGATTCTGGATATATAATAGAAATTGGATTTATCCTACTTATTCTTAATTTGAATTAGGCATTTTGATCTATACCGATACCTTTTAAAAACATAGCCACAAATATGAAACAAGTTAGCATCATCATCATGGTTTTTTTTACCTACTTGGGATCGATTGTATGAATGAAAGTTAAATAGACCCACATCGATCTCTCGCATCTGCTATCTAAATCCAAACCTGGATGGGTTGACGTGACCCGATGACACCCATAGGAGAAACACACCTGTAGAGTAGATGGAGACAGAGAGAGATGCCGTACAATGCTCATGGGCTTTACGTGGACCTCGATATTAACAGTATTTATCTTAGCCATCAATCTTAAAAACAACATAAATTTGACATTTTGCCATGAAACATAAAAATTTATATAAAATAATAATTTTAACTGTAGAATAAAAATTATATTAATATGTAATATTTATTTTAATTAGATGATGTAGATTTGATAAATTTTTAAAAAACTTATTTTAAACACATCATAAGTGAGATTTTGAAAAAAAATAAAAAAAATTTGAGCATATTATATGTATTAACGAGATCACATCTTCAAAAACACCCTAAAACTACTTTGAGATTGAGTTGTATCGATAATGAACATTATCATATAAAAATTTATATAAAATTAATATTTTAATTGTAAAATAAAAATTATAATAATCCGTATTATCTATTTTAATTCAATGATGTAAATCTGATAATCTTCTTAAAAAAAAATTTTAAATAATAATAAATAAGATTTTTTTTAAAAAAATATTAAACATAACGTATGTATTAAAGAGGTCACATCCTCATAAAGATCCTAAAAGTACTCGGAGATTGAGTTGTACCCAAGGGAGTAATGGACGTTATGCTTCTGCAGAGCAAGAAATCTTTTGGCGGATAAAAAGTGTTTGTATTCTGTATTTTGTGGAATATGTCACAATGATACCAGGCAGACACGTTTTATCCGGTGGGTATAAATGTACAATGTACTCCTGCATAAATGTACAATGATATAGAATCATTGACAAGAAAGGAAAGATGCGCATGGTGCGTATGTAGTTTACAAGTGACGAAGTGCATATCAGCTCAGGTTGTGGACCAATAGTTTGATGTGAAATGTCCATCACAGTGTCCACTATAGAAAGGCCAAGTTCATCCCATCCGTCCACAATGGACGGTTGAGATAATGTACGGCCTACTGATTGTGAAATCGTATGCATCACATCTGTACAATCCTAATGGTCTTCGTCTGAAATCTATTTTTTTCTTTCGGTAATTAAAAACATGCTGGGGCCACTCAGGAGCGATCCAGAAATTTCCCGACTCACAGGCCGAGATGGGAACTCAACAATTTCTGATGAAGAACATAAAAATCGGGGCGATTGTCTTGATCCCAGGGTGTTCTTTGTTATTTTTCGCAAAATCGACCGATTCAGACTTGATATGCTGCCTTCGATTCGATTGGTTCTAAAACTGACTTGGGCTTGGGAATCTAGTCACTCGAAGCCGAGTCCGTTTCTTAGGCCACCGTCTCTCGCCACAAATCTATGGCAATTAGTGTTTTAAAACCTGCACTTTTCGATCCAAATTGTCGATCTGATTTGATACGAAGCGGTCAGTACTAAACTAGTTTTAGGATGGTTTGAGTCTCAACCCAATTCCTCCCAAAAGAACCTTCCTTGTATATATTTTCTTATTTTTCTTTTATGCTTATTCAATGTTTTCATAAGGACCCTATATGTCCCCACCTTATAAATATCTGTTTTAATTTATATTTTATTTTATTTATTTTTTAATATATTTTAAATCACCTATTCATATCAATCCAGACCCGATCCAGATCACTTATCCAACGAACTACATGGACATGTGGGTAAACAATCCATCCTACCAATCCAGATTTTGAAACATTGATGGCACAGAGACGTACACATTAGACAAGAATTCGAAAACTCTAATAGTCTTAAACAATAACATATATGAAATAATTTCATAAAATAAAGAAAGCAATCATGAATATATAAAGAGAAGCAATTGACATAAATTTCGGTTAAGATGCAGCAGATTCAATGAGCCAGAGTGAAAGAACAAATAATGTAAAAGTGCAAAAGGGCGAGAGAGTAGTAGCATACTGGACAGGAAGATCCCGAGATGTGATGAAGCCAAACGTAAGGAAAAGGTTTCTATACTTCTTCTAAAACATAGGAGATCTATGCTTATTTACCATCCAACCGTCCAATTTTGATAAAGAGAGCTATTCATCATTTGAACTTAAATCCGACATCTGAAAGTATTTTATTTTTAGTTTTTTTTATACAAATTGTATGAATATGAAATTTGGCACTTGTCATCTTCTCTTTTGGGCACACCTATTAAAAATATTTTAAAAAAATTAGATAGAATATAATGATCAAAATACTCATAAAAATTTTCAAAGGTATTTTGGTCATTTTATTTTATTAGAAATATTTTTTTATATTTTTTGTTAGTGCGAGTTTAATAGAGGATTGGACATACAAAATCTGGTGTCAAAATATTTTCTAAAAAAGAATTAAAAATAAAATAATACAAAAATGTAACATTGTGATTGAGACAATCTTGACCCTTCATTCAAAATGAAAGGTTGGATAAAGAGAAGGGTAGAAGGTTCATGTTGTAGGGAAGCACCCCCATATTGAATATCATAAAATTTCAAGACCACAGATAAATAATGCACACTCAAATTAAAGATCTCGCCATGATGGGATAATTATGTAATTTTCAGAAGTCAGCACTAATTCATAAATTAGGGCAACTTGGTAATTTTAAAAAGAGAGTCAGATTGAACTCGAGATAGCATAGAAAATAAAGAAAAAGCTATTCCGTGAGGCTACAGTTGTATACTATTGTAGGCCAAATATTTTTTGAA